CCCCAATGGAGAGGAGGCATAGTCCACTCTTCAGTGAGGGTGTATGTGGTGCTCAGCTCCGGCAGGCACTAGGTGCTGGGTGGGTGGAGACAGCGAAGCAGACAGACCTGGGATCTGGTTCCAGGCCCTCCCACTGGCGGTGCTCTTGGCTCCCAGAAGCCTGATTTAAGGTTAGAGGACAGACACGGGAGCCAGCACCAGGGATGACAGGTGTGAGCAGGTGGACTGGGGGACTGGAACCCTGGAGGGTGATCCTGTGTGTCGTGTGTCATCTGTGCTGGGATTCCTCACACAACGTAGACAAATGTCAGGGTTGAATTGTGTCCCTCCAAAAGTCCAAAAGCCCAGGACCTCAGAATGTGACTGCACTTGGAGATGGGGCTTTTAAAGAGGTAACTTAAAGCAAGGTCATTAGGGTGGGTCCTGGTCCCCATGCCCGGTAAGGAGGCAGCCTCGTGAACATAGAAGGGCATGTGCAGGCGGAGGCTGACTGGAGCGAGGCACCGCAAGGTAGGAATGCCAGGGCAGTGACGCCACAGAAGCTGGGAGAGGCCTGGAGCAGCCTTCCTCAGCCTCAGGAGGGACCTCCAGGCACCTCACCTTGGACTCCTAGCCCCAGGTGGAGAGACCATCTACCAGGGAAGCCACCGTCCTCTCTCTTGCCTCCCCCTTGTGGCCCCGAGGCACAGGCAGCCCTGGGATATGCGCTGCTGAGCTTCTGCTGAGCCATTGGGAGCAGGAAGATGTGTTCACAACTTGACCCTCAAGGTGCCTCACTGACATCTCAGAGTCTCATCCCCCTTCCGTTAGAGTAGGAGGGATGGCCAGCCTCTGGGAACTCTGGTGGCCCTTCCCATAATGCATCCAGAAACAGGGAAGATAACTCATTTATATATCCCCAAGACCTGTGTAATTTGTGCCTTTAAAACTGTACAAAGTGAAGTCTCAGCCTGACAATGCACCCTCTCCTCTGGGGTGCAGCTGGGATGGCTCTGTAGGGTCCCCTGTTCACGGAAGGGTGAGGATGTGCCCTGGAAGGGGGCAGCCTTAGTGCGGGTCTGCCAGGAAGGATTCCAGGGTTGCGCGGAAGCGCATGGCTGGCTTTGCACAGCCTAGGCCTGTGGCGGTCATGAGGCCACTGGCAACGCAAGGACTGAATCACAGGTACTGCTGGGACCAGCTCCTGGGCCCACGGGCGCTGCCAACCCCGCCTCAGTGGCCTGCAGCTGCCCTGGTGCGCACAAGCCCTGCATCCTCCAAGGGGATGATCCTGTCCTCATGGGGCAAAAACTCCTTCTCCCTGGGGGAAGGGAGGCAAGAGAAATGTGAAGAATTACAGTGGTTTGAGGTCCTTTGCAGCCCAACCCACCCAACACGGCTCCCTTCGTGTTAAATTCTCTCCCAACGGGGAAATGAAATTCTAATTAATTCAATTAATTAGATTTAAGTCAAATTAGCATTTTTCTCCCTGGGGGAGTGGTAATGAAGGAAAGGATGGGAGGCTGAGCCCCCCCCTTCTGGACCGGCCAGGAACTGTATTGGGCCCAATGTTGGGGTATCATGGTGTTTGGTAGTTGGCCAGGTCTGAGCCAGGCGTGGTTGACCCTCCTGCATGCATTCAAGGTAACATTTCTCACTGGAAGTGCCCACAGGCTTCTCCTAGTGGTTGGTTAGCTGTGGGGTCGCTGGGTCCATGGTAACCTCGAGGACGGAGCCCTTGCTGGCCGGGCCTCCCCATGCTGGGCCTGCACCCAGTTCTCTGCTGCGCCTGGGGCTCACCCTGCAGTGCTGGTGTGCCCAGAAGCTGGTGTGCGCCCCACTGTCCCCAGCCACCAGCCATGGTGAAACGCCCCACTGCGCCTGTTCAGAGGTTACTCTCGAGCCTTAGGTCTGGCAGTGAAGCTCGGACCCATGGGGACCTCAACCATTGATCTGGGAAGGGGGAGCACATGGAAGGGTGGCCAGAGAACAGCATGGGCCAGGCCAGGGTAAGAGGGCAGGACTGAGTCCC